CCAAGATTTTTCAGTCTTCAGCAATCAACGAATCAAAACAAAACAATAAAACACATCCATTTGTGTATTTAGAGCCCTTCTGGAGGAAAGCCAGAAGATTCAGAGAGAATCTCTAATGAAAACAATTATCTTGTTTGATTGTTTTCCACTTAAATTGAAAATAAGGCGTTTTTGCCCAGCTATACAAATTATTCCCTCTTCTCCAGCACTTGAGAGGAGCACATGACCCACCCCAAATGTGTTGTGGGAGACAGGGAAGGGAGGTCTACTCAAGTTCATCCTACGGTACACATCACATGCGCATGTGCTACACGGGCGGCGAGGGCTTGGTGGCAGTGGGAATTGTGTGATGAGGCTACACTAATACTTAAATTGTGGCTGGATTATTTGATTTGGTCTGATAGGATGCAAATGGCAAGCCTGTGTGTTTATCCACATCCTTCAAAGCTTGGCAGGGACCCTCGGAGGATGCAGTGTGAGCGCCCTCTCCTTGCAGGCAAACAAAAGGACAAATAAATGGTTTGATTTGGATGCCTCTTTGGCACGTTTGTGGTTTTTTTTTCTTGCAGAATTTGCTGCACCCTCCCCACTGCAGGAAGGAGATGCCAGAAATCAAAGGGATTCAGGTCACAGCGCCCCAGAATTAAAAACATAACGTAGGAATGGCCATGCTGACCAACCAAAGGCCCATCTTGCCCAGTATCCTGCCTCTACTGGGGCCAACAGCAGACACCCAGGTAAGAGCACAGGACTGGGGCAAACACATCCTGATACCTTCCCAACACACCTCTCCAGACGCCGATAATTTGCAGGTCAGAGATTTCCTGAGCTATAGATAATGTTTTTGTACTTAACAGGACTGGGTGGATTTTTAGCCCGTTAATTCATCCAGCATTTTTTAAATCCATGCGACTCAAGGTATCTGCAATATCCAAAGGCAAAGTTAGGTTCTTAAACCTAAGAGGCGACTTTCTTCTCAAAAGTCGCACACGTCCCTCTTTGCTCAGCACGAGTGTAAGACTTTGGAGGACCCAGGCCATCCGTTTATTTAGGAGCCCAAAAGGGGATGCAGCTGAGTTTTAGAGATGCCACATAATAGCACATAAATCTTAGTAGTGGTGGTTGGTTGGAAGGGGACTCTGGAAACTTCTAGTCCAATTGGCTCAAAGCAGTACTGGTTTTACCTTGAAATATCTTGAAAAACTTGCAAGATGATGAGCGAAAACCTCCCACCTCCCACGTGACCTAGTTCAGTGTTGGCCCGTCCTCTTGGTGAAGTAAAACTTGTTATTGGAAATTTCACTATGAAAACAATACAAAAATATCCTCTATCTACGACAGTGACAGAGAGGGCTGTTAACTCAAAAAAAAATCTTCAGTTCCTAATGAATACGATTTCCTTACACTACCACTCTTTTGTCTGCCTACAGCACGAGTCTTTAGGAAGGGAAGGTCTCTCTGCACTCAGCCTTGTGCAACCTAAACTTGACTGAGACCTCTTCATGCTATTGTAAGACTATCAATAAATAACTGATTAAATTAAATAAAATAAAAGGCAACTGCCTCAGGCATAATAGAAAAGTTCCTATTTCATTCACCTGCCTAACTGACTCGACAATAATTTACATATTATGTAAAAGATAACGTCCAAGAGACTGAGATTCCAGCCCTGACCTTGCCTAATGGGTAAAATGGAGAATAAACTGGCAATAGCCTCCTCAGAGAAGCACTGTGAGATCTTCTGAAGGAAAACCACAGGTAAAAGCTCCTTATCCATTGGGTTCACCCTAAAGTAGGCTCCAGCCCCTGCTCAGGAGGCGGCGGTGAATGGAGGGAACGGTCCTCACCAAAGCGGCACCACGCCACGGTGGTGAAGGTCACTTTGCCCACAGGATCCCCTCTCTGCAGGGCAGATGCTTAAGCACAAGAAGGACCATCGCCTCCCCTCCCAATAGGGTTATTCAGGTCTGATGCTAGTGATGCCGCCATTTGGGGGGGAGGATGAGGAAGTTGAGCAAGATTTTTAACTCATTTACAGCACTGCGAGATTTGCTTGGTCATTGGGGACGCTAAAAGCCAGGCGAGGGATATCAGCAAGCGCTGGATGCTCTCGCTTTCCCGGTAACACCCTGCAAGCGCTACTACTTCAGAGCCCCGAAGTGCACAGAGCAGCTTAGCTGGAGCTGATAACAATGCACTTGATGTGAATACCAGGTAAGCAGTGCGCATTCTAGATTTACAGGAGGAAAATTGGGATTGTAAAAAAGGGATTTACAGTCTGTTTCAAAATCCTACCTCTTCCTGTCCATAAATCCAAAGAACGCACAAAGTAAGTAAGTCCCTTGGCTGGGATTGCACCATTTTACACAAGATAAAACATAAATGGAGTCAGGCAGAGAAGGGAATGTGCCAGAGGAGTTACTGCTGGTTGCCACATTTTTGTGTGTTTCAAGGAAAAAAGGGAATTCCAAAAAAAGCAGCTATGCAAACACGCCAACCTATGTATATGGAACAAGCCCATGGCTGTCCCGGGAGAGGAGCTGGGAAGGAGCCGGCAGTGGAAATGCAGACTACATGCCCCTCTCTCCAATGGCTAGGCTGCTTCCCCACATCTTATCTCTCTAACTGTAAATATTGCCGTGTAAGCATCCAAGAGATGCAAAGAAAAACGACATCGTGAAGCGGTTATGAGCCCAGCAGAGACGTGTCTGCCAAGAAGCTGGATCCATAGCTGGAGAGGTGTGAACGGCCCCTTCAGCCCAGTGGGAGTTCATGGCTACCACAGCAATGTTGATGCAAGGGCCACGTTAACTCCTTCACTGCTGCTCTTGTGCCTTCAGGCTACGGTACCCGGAGGACGCAGAAGCGGGGTGGCTTACCCTTTGACATAGATGTCACTCATCTTCTCCCCGGTGATGCTGAGGTCATCGAGGATGACATCCTTGGTGTTCCAGATGACGCAGCGCAAGAAGAACCTGGACAGCCCCGGGGACAAAAGCAACATGAGAGGGTGGAAATCTTGGTCCAGAGCCCACCTGGACTGCCTGGTTGTGCTACTCAGCTATTTAGCTGAAGGAGCTAAAAGACGTGAGTCATCTTTCTCTGAAGATGAGCCCACAGAGATGTTTCTCAGCTAGGCAGGTGAATCCCTCCCCATCTGACATCTCCAAGCCCTCTCCTCTCCCCTCACAAACAGAAGGTGCTGGAACCAGCACCGCACTAAGAAATAAAAAACAAGTTACCTCTTGGCTTTGCGTGGTGTGATGTTGAAAGGGGGGCCAGGCTGACCCAGAGATTTCGGAAACAGGTCCACCCACATCTGTAGCTTTCCCTGTATGGAAAGAAAGTCACATGAAGCCTGGTGAGCCTCCTAACTGGGTTACCTTCACCTCCTCAGTAAGACCTAGTAGTGGAGAGAGAACATATCAAGTGCTCCAGTGTTCCTTAGTTGAAAACTGAGGTTTCCCTAATGGAAAAGTGTCAGTAAGTATTATACTAAAATTATTTTAGTGATAGCTGTGTATACGTTAATGGCTTGCGATATAGAAGTGGTTGGTCTGGATAAGCTGAAGGTGCACTCTGGCTTTACTCTTCACGGCTGACTATCTTTACATAGGGACAGACTAAAGACTAGGTCCATGGGAGGTGTTGGAGAAGCAAGCAGCTCACTTGTTTTCCATGGTGTCACCAGTTGTCACCAGCTGGACCACTGGTTTATGGGTTTCTGACCATGGGAGTGGAGGATGGGATGAGGAGAGGGGAATCTCATTCCACTTTCACAAAATCCTTCCAAGGAGAGAGCAGCAGAAATGCAGCTGGAATCTTGGGGGTGGGGGGGGTGTTTTTAGGTGGTCTTTTTTACTGTAAAACACCAATGGGTGCCAATAAAATATTTTATTGTGCAGTCTCAGGGGTTGAAAGAAAAAAAAAAAAGCCATCCTTTGACAATCAGCCCATCACAGAGGGGTTTGTGGTTTGCTTGCTTTTTGGCAAGAAAATCTTCCATTTCAGCAGAAAACTTTAAAAGCCCAACCTGGCTTTCAGCTCACTACGAACAGCCCGATAGAGCCAGCCTGTTCTGTGGCTTCGCAGCGGGTCAGAGCCATGTTTCGGGGAACTGCCCCGAATGCAACACGTACCGAGTCACACAGGTTAATCCCCTGGACCCAGCGTCACCCCTATGGATGCTCTTGGTTAGAAGCACCGGTGCGGGGCAGACCCTGATCGCTCTGCCCATATGCAACCCCATGTCATGGAGGAAGCACCCTTGCTAGTCTCCATGGCTGGTCCAACAAGACCATGACACCTGTACCTGTAAGAACAGCACAGACCCACCGGTCACCCGACAGCAGCCATCTCCTGCCTCTAATCATCATTTTCATTGGGTGAATTAACATGAAAGGGTGTTAAGAGTTGCTGCCGGTGCATTTACTTCTGCCGGCAACTCTCCTCTCCCACCGTTGGAGAGGTGGTCTGGTTAAAAATGAACCACAGAAGGGAAACGGCTGAAACAGTGCAGATCAGTGGCTGTGCACATTTACACCAGCTGCAGAGCCGGTCTCTTGAAACTGCCTTTGCAATGCAACTGGAACATGTATGACAGATGATAATTAATCATTTTGTTCTTCAGGAAGCAGCATTTTTTGATCCAAATGCATAAACTACACATATGTGTTAATCAAAGAAAAGGTGTTAGGCTAAATAGAGATACCTGGATTTCGATTGGTTTTGGATGGAAGCCCGTTTAGTTTTCATTTGGCTTAAAAACATCCAGTCTGCCGCAATACTAACACTTTACACCTCCAAGGGCGGGTTCATGCTGCAGAAGTCATGCTGCTGCATTGCCCAAGGAGCCTGCCGTGTCATTACCATTATAGAATAATTCTGCATTAAGACTTTCAGATCAGAAATGGCTTTCCCACAAAAATAAATATAAATGAATAAATAAACTGTGAGCAAATGCTGATGAAAATGAACACAGGAGGCTGGAATCGATCTCCCAGAGCAAGTCAGCCATGGAGATGAGCTCCAGCCTGCGTTTGATAGCCAGCGGTCTGCCCTGCCCCGTAAGCTGACTCCCTTCCCTGGGAACAGCCCATCTCCTGGGGCAGGTATCCCCAGCACGGCTCCGCAGCGAGCCAGCCACCTGGTCAGCATTGGATCGAAAGGAGATGATGCTCTTGGTCTTGTCCTGGACACGTCACACCACCCACCTGCTCGATTTCTGGCTGGAGAGGGCTGTAAAGAGGTCTCGTCTCCACGTGCTCTGGCACCAGCCCTTGCTTCCGCAGCGCGTACAGGGCGAGACGCTCCTCCACCGGCCCCAGGTGGGGGTTGAGGGGTTTGCCATCCTCTGCCACAGAGCAGACAAAGAGTAGCGTTATGCCACGCCATGGCCGCAGCTGTGCAGGGCCAGATTCTGACCGCCCCGTGGGAGCTCCGCAAGGGAGCAAGCACGAGCCCACCAGCCTCGCTGCAGCCAGCAGCGAGCAGGAGGAGCGCAGCCTCCATTTGCAAATCCACCATCATCACAAACCCTCCAGGACACAGGGCAACCTGTTCCCAGTGGGACACGTGGGCAAACCGCTGTGCAATGGGACAGGGACCTGTGGGGAGTCTCGTACAAGTCATCCTCCCCCCCCCCAAATCACAGCAAGTGAAACATTGCAAGGCCCAAGTTGAAGCACATGGAAAGGAGAGCCCAGTCTTTGATCCTGCCCAAGGGTTCAGGCTGCCTAAAATCACAGCAGTTGGGGCTGCAGGGTCCCCAGCAGCCCTCCAGCCCATGCTGCTGCTCTGCTGCCGTTCCCACCCCCCAGCAGAGGTTTATCTAACGTGTGATCAAAGCTCTTCAGGGAGAGGAGACGAAAGGGTCTTGTCTGGTGCAGTTTGCAAGCACTCGTGTGATGGATATTGTTTTAATCCCATCACTTAAAACAATCCAGGATCTTCAGCTGGGCAGAGCGGGGTCCCACTTCTTCTCTGCTGGGTTCAGGGTGAAAGACAGAAATGAGAGGAAAAGGATGGCCATGCAGGCACCACCAGCACAGCTCGATGGCCACTCCTAGTCCCTGCTCCGGTCCTCACTGCTCCCACTGGGGTATTTGTGGTCTTTCATCAAAACGGACCAGCGTACAACAGCCACAGCAAACACCGAGCCGTCCATGAGCAGATCTGAAACCATCTCCACCTCCTCAACCTGCTCCACGCCAGACCCTAATCCCTTCACAAATATGTCAGACAAGACCTATCAATAATGGACATCTTTGCCTTCTCTGTCCCGGCATTCGGGATCCCTTGTTACATCCAGGTACCGAGGATGGCCAGCTTGGCCTCGGCTGAGCCTGCTCCTGCCTCCCCATCCCCACAAGCCATGCTGGGACTGGTGGAGGACGTTACCCCCAAGACGCTGCCTTTCAGCCACAGCGTTTCAAGGCCATGCACCTTCGAGGACCTTTGAAATGAAATGCGCTCCATAAATATTATTACAGCTCTGCAACTTTCAGGTGATATATCCCAGCTCCTTTCTTGGCAATATCTTGAAGTGGTTAACTTCAGACATATGGGCTATTTCCCAAGCAGTGGAAACCTGGCGTGCGTGTGTGTGTGTGTATGTGTGTATGCACAGGAAAAAGAAAAAGCCCCTCTCAGAAAACAACAAATGTGGGGGTTACGGAATAATGGTCCGGGTGCAGTGCTTGTAAATCCCATGCTCTCGTGTTTAATAGCTTCACTTTATACCGCCAGGTTCAGATCTGACATTGCTCTGCGAACACAGCTGGTTTCCAGATCTCCTTGAGGTCAAGCATCAGACTTTGTTCTGTTTTTTGAACTGATTGCCATTAAAGCAGAGGAAGGTGAAAGGCAGGGGCTGGGAGAGGGGGGAAGACCCCGCTAGGTTTAACACCTCTCCAGCCCTTGCTGAAAACCTTTCGCATAACTAGAGGCTGCAAAGGAGCCGTTGCTTCCCCACTCCTCCTCCTCCTAAGAGGAGAACCATGAATTTGTGCCTTGATTCCCAAGAGCAGGGAGGGGGCTCAGCCCTGGGCTGTGCCGTCTTGTGCCTCTGCAGGCCAAGTCCTCCTTGATGGCTCTGCAATACTGTAGTGGCCTTAACAAAGTCAAACTGCAGCTCCTGGGCCATACAGTGGGGTTTCACCTCCTCCCTGGGCCAAAACATCCCTTCCATGCTTTAAAGCAGACTTTTCTCTAAAAGGCAAACTTCTGCCCCCAAGGATGCCAGTCAGACGGGCATGAGCGTCATTGCAGGTGTCAGTGTTGGTGGGTTTTTTGTGCAAACAAGAAAATGCCTCCCCGACACTCGGTGATATTTTCTCCTTGCTGGCAGAGGCTGATTCTGCACTTCCAGCTAGAGCACACCTCGCCCCCGAGGCGCGAGCCGTGGTGCGATACGCTGGGCACTGTGTGTATGATATTGTCTCCCTCTAGTGACTCCAGCCCCAAAACGCAGAGATGCAAACGGCACAACTGCTCCTCCAGCCCAAGCAGCAGCTGGAAGATCAGGCTGGAGCCTCTCTGGCTGCGATGGGCTTTGCTGCTCCCAGCCTACGTGTATTTGGTTCGCTGCAGGCAGCAAAGGGCAGTCACTCAAGGCCAAAGTTAACGTGGCGGGATTGCAGGTCTGGGTTCAACTCCGGGGTTTGGTGCAGATCCAACTGCAACCTGCAGCCTTTGGGGCAGAGCCAAGCTTGGGAAAGGTGCAGAGCCAACCTGGACGGCAAGGTGAGGAGGATGGGGACGTGCCCATCACCCAGTCCTGGCCTCCATGAGAACCCCCCACCGTGATCTGTTCATGACCTCCAACTCCATCCGTTGCTCTGCATAAAGGAAAGCTATTTGCAACGCCGAAGCAGCCCCGTTACCTTACCCAGTTCAGAGAGGATGTACTCTTGCTCCCTGAAGACGACCCGGTCGGACTTGTAGGTGGGGGCCTTGTAGTTGTGCTGCAGGGAGAAGAGGTGAAGCAGCTGGGAAGGACGGAGTTGGTCTCGCCACTGGTTGGGTCCAGAGCTGAAACCAAACAGGATGAAAAACAGCAGCTCAACACGTGATAAAACATCTTCCAGCCTCAACAAGGGGCAGCAGCAGGGTTACACCAAAGAGGGCTGGTCTGAGGAAGGTGCAGCCAGCTCCAAGTCTGTGCTCACCTTGGCCCACTGGTGAACAGGGCTGCATGTCCCATACCCTGCTCAGCCCCGGCTTGCCGGGCTGGGGTGCCCTGATAGCCCCCCTCAGACCCACCAGGTCACCCTTCAGCTGGCCCTGTGCATGGAGGGTGTCCTCACCACAGTGTGCCCGAGAGGCATCAGGGATATAACAGGATCTCCCCTAGGAAATTTCTGTTATTTGAAGCATTTCAAGCTTCTGGAGGAGAGCCAGGACTCAGGGAATGCCCTCAAATGTGGGGCTTCTCTGGTGTGAATCCATCTCTCTAGACAAATCTCTGCGGTGAAGTACAGCACTGCCCAGGTCCCCCTGGGACATCCCTGGGACAGCAGACCCATGGGCTGAGGCATCACCCTGGTCCCCATGGCCAGCTCAGCACCGCACAGCCCTGGCAGCTACAGAGACCCACTGCCTGAGCTCACAGAGGTACCTACACGCAGTAGGTTTGGGGGAGGCCACAGCGCGCCCCGTATTTCGACAGGAACCGGTTCTCCAGGTCTATGACGGTCTCCCCAATCTTCTCATCCTTCGACAAGAGGTCGTAGTCGTAGAGCGTGATCTTCAAGTCCTTCTCCAGGGGCAGAGTGCAGCTGAGCTCAAACATCCTGTGCAACGGGAGCCGAGAAATACCCATGAGATGGAGGCTCATGGTGCTGAGTGCCCCACGGGAAACGGACCCACACACCATCCCAACCCACCAGTGCGGGAAGGACGGTACGCCCACTGCGCATCTTCGCCGTGTTGGTCCAGTACTATTGGTCCTGTGTTGTACTGGCTCAGCTTGTGGATGCACTAAGCAAGCACGCTTTGGGTTTCTTTTTGCCCGGTTGAATTACCCTCAGGCAAACTTTGCCCCTGATTAGTTTCTCCATCTGCTAATTGGACATGACGGTGGTCACTGCAATGTCCAGGGAAAAGAGCCGCAGGCGAGAGTCAGGAGTCATCATTGCCATGGAATTTGAAAGGGGGAGAAATGACAGCTTTGGAAAACCATCTGCTCTTTGAGCCCAAAGAGCAAATGTCCAAACCAGGAGTCAAGCCTGCCCAGGCCAAGCTTGTGGTCAGCATAAGACTAACCCCCCAAAGCCTCCTTGTCCTCTCCTCCCCGTTCGAAGCACCTTTTTTCTGCGCTGTCTCCTCTGCCATCATCACACCACAGTCCACACACTGACATAACATAAAGCAAGAGCAAACCATCCTCTCCCTCTTCCAATAAAGGACGGCAAGAGACAAAGCGCCAAGACCCCACCAAAACACAACACCCCGATCCAGACCGAGCCGGCGCTCGTGGATGTCAGCGATAAGGAAGGTGGTACTACAGGGCGAGCGGGACAGTCCAGGTCTGACCCAGCACTACCAGGAACCCCTCCACCTGCTGCTGAAAGGCAGGCAGTGCTGGGGAGAAACGCGGCGCCCATTCCCACCGCCAGCACCCACCCCGCAGCAGCTTTTAAGGAGGGGAAGTGAGTGATTATGCCACCAATTAAGAGTGCAGGAGGAACTGGGGTCAGCAGAAAGTAATTAGCTAAAGCTGGATGGCAGCCAGCCGCCCAGGGAAAAGCTCGTGAAACGAGACCTTTAATAGCCGCCAGCAGCCAGGACCTCGGTTTTACATCTTGCTTTAAAGACCGGGTGGGAGGTGCAGCACGCTGTCTAGACGGCCTCTGGCCGGGAGCCAGGCTTGGCGAAGGAGGACTTGCTCTGCCAAGCAGAGCTCAGCAGGGTCTGGCTGTGGGCTCTGCGACAGGGCAGCAGGTCTTGGCCCACCGGAGACCAGGGCTCCCTCATGCTAGATGGGGAGCAACCACTTTGCATTCACCGTAGGAAAGGCAGAGCTGCCATCTCCATTTGGCAAAAGAGGAGGAGACGGCTTGTCTAATGCACACTGTCCTCCACCGTCTCACCAGTATCACCCTCGCCATCCCTCTCCCTTTTGGTCCATCCTTGCAGACGGTGTATCTCCCACTCCGTCTTGCTTTGTTGAGAAGATGTCATGGCACTGACATCCTGAGCTGCCTAAGAAAACCAGCTGGACATTGTGTGGAGTAGGGCTTGACCCCTGTTTGTGCTGAAGCATAACTCCCTACGTCTAACCCCAGCTTTTCCGGGAGACCAAAGTCCTATCGGCACATGGAGGCTGAGCACCAGGTTTTCCTCTACCTCCCTCCGCTTTGCCTGGTCCCTACGGTGCTTTCTGGCTCGGATGAACACTTTTTTCTGAAAACAATGTTATCTTTTGCCTTTTATCGGAAGTTTGTGGCCCTACTGCAAGGCAAACAACTCAACCAGCCCATATCATGTTTATAGATAATTTTCAGGGCATCTAATTTTGAGGTGTGCCATGCTGCAGCCTAATCAAACATGCCTCCATTCATTGTGTCTTTTCTTCAGATTTTTAACCAAAACGCCTAAATGAGGAGCAGTTTCCCCAGATTCTCTCTACCATCACTGGGATGAGGCAGATGCCTCCACAAGGGAATCTCAGGTCTAAACAACCATTCTGACGTCTCTGTTGATGACAGAAAAGACCCAGTCCATGCTCCACGGCTCAAAAGTCCCAGGGAGAAGATGAACACGAGCCATGGTGGGTAGGATGGTGGTCGAGCCAAGGCCAGGCTCACTTCAGCAAGGTTGGACATGAGGCGAGAGCATGCCGTGGGAATCACAGAATGGTTTGGCTTGGAAGGAACCTCTAAAGGTCATCTCGTCCAACCCCCCTGCCATGGGCAGGGACATCTTCAACTAGAGCAGGTTGCTCAGAGCCCCGTCCGACCTGACCTGGAATGTAGGTTGGAATGGGAAGCTCTGGCTGGCCCAGCCCTATTCCCTCAATATGACATAAAAAATTGCAGGGACTCCAAACTGGATCAAAACTTACTTCCCAAAGACAGGCTCCAGCGTACAGGGGAGGTAATTTTCTTGGTCATTTATGGATTTCTTTCCCACTGAAATCTTCACATAGGGATCGCACTAAAGGTGGGCATAAAAATAAATGCAAGAAAGAGTCATTCCACAGCAACATTGATGGCAAAGGAATAACTCTGCCTCCCCTTGTCCCAGCAAGCAGGATCTTCCACCACCCTTGAAAAAAGCCTATTTTCACGGATAGGACAGTCTGACCGTTAACTCCTTACTACAAATCTGTGAACATCAGCAAGAGCTACCTGCACTGCAATTCCTTTTTGAGGATGACCGAAGGACCAGTCAGCAGCGTGGGACAAGAGTCCAAGCCCTTCTGAGGCCCATGGGATGGAAAAGCAATAGAAGAGCATGAAAAAAACTACTTATGGCTTCTTCGATGGACTGGGCTTGCTCTGAAGTCCTCAGGATGTTCCCGTTCTCATCTGAGTCACCTATTTTGGGGTTCCATCGAGGTCATCATTTTTTAAGTTTGAGGTCTACTCAAAAATAGATTTACAAATGTAGGGGACTAAAATGTCAAAGGAAAAACCTTTTGTTTCAAAAAATGTGGTTCAAAACCATTTATTCCCAAGATGCTGCAACAAATTAAAAAAAAAAATAAAATGGAAGCATACTTTAACTTAAAGGCTCATTGTGCATCTAAAAATTGTATCAGATATTTTTACATTTTTAGCAAGTTTTTAAGCTTCTCTCTCACAACTAAAACTATTCTGGGAAACCAGCATAAATTTGAAAAGTCATTAAATGAACTCAAGTCAGCATTTTTGCCAGGGGAAGAAAAAAAAAACTTCACCTAAAAAATGTCACCCAGCTTGAGTCCAGTACCTAGAGGGACCCACCATCTTACTCAGCTCACATAAAAATAAAATTAAAAAAAAAAACCACAAATGGGAAAGATATTGGCTAGATATGCTCCCTGGAAAAAACATCCAGGCCAAGTTCCTCATCACTTTTCCTTGACCTGTAGATTTTTTTAAGAAGCGAAGGATGGAGAAGCGGTGCTCGGGGAAGGCCTGCAGCGTGAGGATGGACCGGGCATCCGGGGCTCTCCTTTTGTCTCCCCTTGGCTGTGATGAGCTTTAGGAGACGTCACAGCATAAGGGGAGAGCATAGGGGTCAAACTTGGATTGGTTTCGGTTTTCAGTGTAAAAAAAAGCATTTTTTCTACTCCTTCTTTTTGAGTCTCTTACGGGAGATTTCTAAGAAATTGAAAACTTTCATTCCAAGTCCATTTTCAAAAACTGGGCAGATTAAAAAGCAGGAGGGTTTGTTCATGTCAAAATATTTCCCATATATTTTTTTAACTTTTTCCCTATTTTCCAGTGGAACAAAGAGTGAAGAAGGATTTTTCCCTGAGGGGTTGGGTTTTTTTTTTTTGCAAAGTGAAACAAAATTAACATTTTTTTTTTGAACCAGCACAATTTTCTTTTTGTACTGAATTTTTCTTCCAGACTGGCAAAGCTTTGCAAAAAGCAGTCATGTGAAAGACATGATTTTGTTTCTTTTGGCACCAAGGCAAAAAAAAAAAACTCATTTAGCTATTTTAACTAGCACTACTGAAAAATCCCTCAGGATGGAGGAAGAGTTGGCTCCTGGGATTCCCAGATGTTGCAATGGAGGCAGAAAGAAGGGGTAGATTTTCTCATTTTTGCTGTCACTGTTGTTTCTAAATTTTAAGCCATATATGCAAATTTTGATCAATTAGGGCTGACCTGTTGAAAGACCCCACCCCGTGAGCCAACATTGAAGGCCACCAGAGCTTTCCCCAGCAGGATACCTTTCCATTGGCGTCCTTGGGTTGGAGGTCGAAGGCCCGGATGATGTAGACCCTGACAAGACACTCCTGGGGTCCTCTGGCCGGCAGCTGGTGGAACTGCCGAGGTGGCACTGGGACTCGCGGGTCATCCGGGAGAGGGTAAATTTTGAACGAACCCTGTGAAGGACAAACGTGTTCAGCTGCGCTTGCACACCCACACGCGTAGATGGGTCTCGTGTGAGCAGGCTTGCCACAACAGTCTGGATGGTTGCATAGAATCACAGAATCATAGAACGGTTTGGGTTGGAAGGGACCTTTAAAGGTCATCTCGTCCAACCCCTCCTTGCCGTGGGCAGGGACATCTTCAACTAGATCAGGTTGCTCAGAGCCCCGTCCAACCTGACCTGGAATGTTTCCAGGGATCTACAGCTACTACAATGCTGGGGACAGAGCCCAGATCCTGACCCTCTTCTGTCTACTAGACCAGACCATGTCCTGTCAGGCTCTTCATGGTCGAGGGAGACAGGAGCAGGGTGGCAAGCTGCCTGTATCACTCATCCCTTGCCTGAACATCGATGCACACTCTGTTATAAGCCTGCACAGGGCCACTCCAGCCTGTTTGTCCTTTACCTCTTCTACTCCACTGTCCTTTGAGCCTTTGTGCTATTAAAGAGGTGTGAAGTAGCCTCGCTAAGAATCAGCCCCCTGAGGGTTTAAGGCTGAGACTTTCTCTGCAGGGGCAGTTTCAAGGGTTCCTGGACGAGGCAGCTCGTTCCCGAGAGAGGGACGGGAGGAGGAGAGAGAAAATGCAAAAATTTACAAGTTTTTTATTCACCAGAGCTGATTTCCTCCCGGTGAAGTGGCAGGAATCAGTCTCTGGGTATTGTGCGGGGGAGGAGAGTGCTGAGTCAGAGCAGGAATTAAAAGAAAAAACCACCTAGAAAAATTTAATCCCTCTTCTCTTGCCAACAGGCTAAAGGTTAAAAAGAGCGAAAGATGCACCGCTCCTCTGCACTGGACAGACACCTCCAAAGGGAGAGCTCTGAGCACCGGCTTGGCGAGACCTTCAGTGCTCCCACCACCATCCCAGAGAAAGAAGATGCTCCATCGCTTACATCCAGCGTTGGCTCCAGGTGGGTTTTTGCTGGAGGTTGACGACGCAGCCTAGACTGGGTTTGAAGCATGCAATGCACTCACTGCTGGGAATACAGCAGCCAGACCTGCACAGGCAGGTTGTTCAGACTGGGCCCAGTGGTCTACTTTAATGGCCCATTTCTCACTGAATTCCTACCCAAAAACAGTCAATTGGCATCATCCCACTCAGCAGCCAGACCTTCCACCCGGCAGAGTGTGTTCCCGGGTACAGGTAGAAAGAGAGACCATCACACCTTGAACTCCCCCACAACCGAGGGGTCGTCATTTGAGTCCTGCGACCGGCCACGATACAGCCTGAAGGTGTGGCAGAAGTCGGAGAGATGTTCGAAGTCCTCCACGTTCTCCAACTCCGTCTCGTAGACCTGGGGAGGGAGAGACGGGGGCGAGGGCAGGGACTGCTCCCGGGCAGAGGGGGACCAGCAGCATGTCCCCACCGATCTGGGACAAGACTTGACCCAAGCTCCTTGGTCTGGGGGAAATACCACCCACTGGGACAGAGTCCCGGGACCTGTCACCCTTGTTGCCCCCCCCCAGGACAGTGATGAAGAACGGACCTTGAGCAACCCTACAACAAATAACAGCACATCACAGAAGACCCAGACTAAGCCAAGGTGTCGCAGAGGGTCACCCATCAGCCAAAGAGACCTTCCTGCTGGGAACGTTTTCCTTAAGACCAGGCAAGGTCTTCCCCATTTTAGTCCTATTTGGGCTCCTGTGTTAATTGTAGCAATTCTTGTAACTGGGTGCCTAAATGTCCCTCTTCCCTAAGCAATCTCTGGCATTCCTTGCTGTTCCCAAACACTTTTCAGGGTGGCAGCTCCCCACCTCCTCTGCCACTTAGAAAAGTGACAATACCTTGAAGGCCGCAAAGTGGAAAGTTATCAGAAAAGATTTTACAAAGAAAACTGAGTTTTCAAAATAGTTATTTTTTAAAAGAAAAGTACCTGCTCTCAGGGGAAAATGACCTTTTTTTTTTTTTTGTCCTGGAAGAAAAAAAAGCCTAAACACTCAAAAAAGTCAAAGCTTGTGGAAAAATGTCATGGAGAGTGCACGTCCAGTGAGCCAGAATCAGCCAAGGCCACTTACCTTCAGGGTGTCAAAGCCCTTCTCTAAATAGCAGCCACATTTTTCCCTCTCTCCTGTGGAAGCATAGAATTTGCTCCACCAGTCAATGAATTCTTCCTCCTGGCAGCAAGGGATACCAAAGTTACACATCTCCACAAGTAAACCCCGACGATCAATGACAGCACCATCTCCCATAATTGCTAGAGGTGAACTTCTGCCCCGTGCACCAACCCCGTGGCACGGCCTGGGTTTGGTGGGTCTCTGTCCTGCAAAGGCGATGAAGCTATCGTGAACCCAACCTGCAGCTACTCACTCCCTGGTTGCAAGGTGCTTTTGGGATGCTTCCAGCCCAAATCCAGCTGTTGCAGCCACAGCAGCACCATGGACCTAGACCTGTCAGCAGAGAGGGTGATTCTCCATGGGAGGATGAGGTAGAGCTCACAAGAAGAAATATGCAGCATTTTTAGGCCAGGGACAGATTTTGGCCAGTTTGGGTGGTGGCCTTCCCAGGACCGCAGCGCAGGACCACACAGGGGATGAGGCGAACTAACTCTTGTGCTAACATGGTCCTGATAGCCTGAAATTCAGGGAGGACGCGAGGACTGCTCTTAAACTCAGCCCCCGGTTTAGGCTTTGCCTGGAAGGTTTTGGGGTTTCTGGGTTTTGGGATGGGGATTGCCTTCCTGCTTTGTGTCCCAGCACTACCCAACCTCCCCATCCAAACAAAGCACATGGGCAAACAAGTAAGTGCATAAAACGCATAGACTTCCACCCAAAAAAAATGGTCCTCGGGTGCTGCACCTCTCTCAGGAATAATGTAACTCTCTTCTCACTGATATTATACAAAGAAACGGGCAAATCTCATACAGCCTAAGCCTCACAACCTCGCAGCCCACAGCCGCAATGCCATTAAGGAGCATTTGCCTCGTCTGCTATGCAAACTGGATTCCAGCTCCGAGGATGCTGCTCCAAGAAGGCGGCCGGCTGCCGGCTTCAGCGAATGTATATATTTTATAAGAGCACCATTTCTGAAATTTATACAAGCAAAGATGAAGGGGCTTTGACTGTGATTCATGAAGCATTCCTGAAAAATAATGATGTCTTATTTTAGAAGTCCACAAAATTCCATCACACTGACCTAATGGAGGAATCATAATAGAGGTTTATTGGATTTATATTTTAAGCCAACAGTGCAGGCTTTAAATTGCTATCTTGAATAGACATTGTTTTTAATAGAAATATTACATAAATTAACTCTGAGGCCTCTGCTGCCTCCCTTTTTTTGGGAAAAAAAAAAAATTTGCCTTTCATCACTTCCCCTGTTTTATTGTTTAAAAAGCTACACTCTACCATCATGGCTTTACTACGACATTCCACAGGTACTGAGTTACAAAGAAAGCACTTAAACTAATCTGACGACTCACCCATGGTATCTTCTGCAGCCCCAAGACAAAGAATTTGGTTAGATATTTTTGCCGATTTCTACTGACGTTACAAAAAAAAGGCAGAAGAAAAAAAAACGAGGAGGCAAAGGGAGCAGCTGGAATGTTAATAGCGAAGGACATTAATCCGTTTGCCTGCAAATGGGAAAGCCAGGGAAAGCAATGGCTCCACCACATGAGCGACTGAATTCAGGGATTTCATTTAGCAACCAGGCGATAGCCAAAATCACCTCCAGTGTTTTGTCTTGGGCATGGTACAGGACGGTCCTCAGGGGCGGGGTCTGTGCCCTGAGCCCTGGCACAGATGGCTGAGGGACCTCAAGCATCCTGCGTGCCCTCTCCAACTTTTGCATGGACCCCATGAGTGTTGCCGTGTGGCACACGCCCATGGTTGAGCATCGCTTGTGGATAAATTTCACATCAAGTGACTAACAGCTGAAATTTTTGCTTGGGGAGAAGCTTACTCAGATGCGGTGAGCCACTGTCATGGTCATCAGAAGGTCTGCTGTCTCCCCACCCCTGCTCACGCCTTCTTCCCCCACAACCACAGCTCCCATAGAGCAGGGACCACCATAACGTGGGCTGGCACCTGCAATCCCAAATGCCCTGAGACTGGAGTCAGGACTGCAAACGTTTTCCCATTCAGTACTGAGATAAAGTCAAGACCTTTCAAGCTCCAGGGTGCCCAGCTTTGGCATTTTCTGCTAAAATGGAAAGGTCAATATTTAATACAGGAGCAGCAGAAGAGGATCCAGGAGCATTTCACTAGGCAAGAGCCTGAATGGGACCATTTCATCAGTTTTCCAGGAAAGGAGCAGCAGGAGAGCCCCTTCCAGGGGGGCACCCCGGAAGAGAGGAATGTCTTACGGCCAAAAGCATGTTCATTTCCAAAAATAAAGACATTCAGATTTAAAAAAAAAAAAAAAAAAGTCTTTAAAACCAGAATTTCACCAGCAGGCTGCAACTTCCCACTTGAAACATTTCTGGGATTATGGCTTGGACACAGCAAAAGCACTCAGACACATGCTTAACTTCAATCGGGTGCGCAAATCCCTCTGAAGTCAATGAGGCTCTTCAGACGCAGCCTTAAGGGCATTCTGGATCAGGCCTTCGGTGCAGCAGAGCCAGCAGCCGCCGCTGACTTACCCCCTCCATATAATAGGGAAGGAGGTTTAAGCTGTGCCTGATCTCCATGTAGGACTTTCACCCACGGCTACGCACATTGCTGTTGAGGGTATTAAAATTCCTCCCTCCTCCGGATGCCAAAATGTAGACCTGTGTCATGCCGGCAGCTCTCGGGATGTTTTCAATCTCATTTTGTTTCATCCGGGGGGGGGGGGGGGGGGGGGGAATGCACCAGTTTTAACCTCATTTTTGTTGGGGAGGCTGAGCCAGAGCGATTTTCTCCCCACCGCCCAGGGCTTCCTGCGACTCCAAGCCCGTCCTATCAGATGCATTCCCAGATGGGGATAGCAGGAGTCTGGGCTTACCCAGCACAACCCAGTTTTCACAAAATATGTTGAAATGGTCATTTCAGTCTGGAGCGAAAGGAGGCATGGAAACCCGAGAAGTTGCCACGCAACAGACATATTGGCTTCTGGTGACACTTAGTCCTTATCATCACCCTACAGGTGGGGGAAACTGAGGCACAGACAGGTTAACATCCGGACAGCAAAGCCAGGAGAGCAGAGCAGGCATGAGACAACTGAAGTCTTAATACTTATGCTTGCTCTCGTAGTGGTTACACACTCTTCCCTGTGGGAATATAGATAATTATAGCAATAATAAATATTACCTCTAAAGAAGCTAAGCCACTGCCTCAGTCTCAAATGTACTCGCACCTCACATCTGGGAGGCAGATTTCCTGCTATGGGAAAGCTCTGCAGCTGGGATGAGAAGATCCCTCTAGAAACAGCTCGGACATTTATAGATGCAGCTCCCCAGCTGTTTGTTACCACGCTTTTGCAGGAGATGACACCCAGCATCTCAGCCTTGGAGAGGGTGGTATTAGCATCCTCATCTGCTCCAGTGCAAAGGCAGCCTGGTCAGCTCAGCTCATCACCCGACTAAACTAACCCAGCCCAGCCCTGTCCTCCCATGGGCGCAAAACACTCCAGCGGAGAGGCCATGGCAAACAGCTGGGCAACACAAAAATGTCTTTAAACACCGCAGTTGCGCCCCTTGGGGTTTTCCAACCACATCCTAAATCCCTTTGCTGCTCCGCCTAGCATTGCTCCAGAGGTCAGCATGCCCAGGCAGGAAACCGAGCAGCTCGCTGCTGCAGGAGGCATCCTCGGGGCGGTTCTGCAATGCAACGGCTGCAATGAAGCCCACCAGCCACCCACCACCCAAGCAAGGTGCCAGCCATCCCCGCGCCGGGGAGGCACGTCAGCCTCTGCTGCCCAACGGGCTCCATCACCGACAAGCGTAGACCAGGAGCAGCTGCAGAAGTGCCTGGGAGGCAGGAAAAAACAGGTTTTTCCTGCTAGGAGGCCATGCCCTGCCCAAGACACTGGGGTGGAGGTGTCACAAACTGGGCTTGGGATGTCTCATCTGCCAGGCCTTGGGAGCCGGAGGAAGCCTTTTTCATGCTAACAACCTCCCCATGTCCTTGAACTCCACCCTCTTCCCCAAGAGGGACCTGTCTTTGGGTTACCCTTGGGTTAACCTGGTCCTTTCACCTGGTTCCTTCAACCTATCCCAGGGACCTGCAGAAAGCAGCACTGGAGGGAGGAGGAAAAAACCACATGCATCCACACAAGGAGGCTGCAAGAGGACTTGGCTTATCCTTCCATTAACCCTCAGGGTGAGAACTGTCAGATATTCATAAAGAGAAATTATCCATTTCTGGCTGTTTCACCTTTTTCTTTTTCAACATACTGTTAATTTTGCTCAGAAGTGGAGAAAACTTTGTTTTCAGTTATTTTTTTCCACCCTGTTCAATCAGCCTACATTTAGCCCTGTCCACCCAAAGGCAGCCTCCCACACACCTTCTTGCCATCATTTTTTCTCTGCCCCATGGTTTACGTTTGGGGATGTTTTCCCCCGCAGCCCCAGCCGGTGGAAAGCCAGCTTGCCACGCAGATTGGTCTGGGAGGGTTTTCACCCATCGCCCGTGGCAGTGCCGTGGGCCATCTCCCGAGCGTGCACCAAACACCGGGAGAAAAAACGACGGCAGGAACG